CAAAATCTGGCCCCCAAATTAGGACTTCCCATTGGCCCATAGCGCTTTGCTACAGAAGTTATTGAACACAAAGCAAATACCATGGGCAGGATACCTGTCCCTGGGAGTCAACACAGCGCCATTTTAAATTGTCCATCCAGCTCTGCTGCCTAAGACTTGGACCTTTTATATTTTCTCCCTAAATTGGTTTTCTAAAATCACCCAGGCAATTTGACATTGGCAAATTGGGAGGCCTGATATATGGAGTGTTTGAAGTATTTCACGTGTGGGTATGGAGAACCCTCCCAACATGTGCACCGGTTTTCCAACCCCAAAAAGGACTCCAAGAACACACATCCAGAGCTTCTCCTTGAACTGTCATTGCACAAACGCAGTTTTGGTCCGAAAAGCTGATGTCTAAAATCACCCAAGGAAAGGGGTGGTTCGTCCTAGGCCTGCGCCCCTTCTCGCGGCTGGTGTACCCAATGCCTGAGCCCAATACCAGCGGCCTGGGTGTGCATGCCACCGTGGATCTGCAAGGCGTGGGCTTGAAACACGTCCTTGTCTTTTTTGTTTTTTGGACCCTTGCTGGGCATCTTCTGGCGGGTTCCATGTTTTGGAGCAGCGTTTTGGGCGTTGGTTGGTCTTCTTTTTGAAGGGACAGGATGTGGCCGTAGCTCGGGTGGGTTCCTCACTCAGGTGGGTGTAATGGAGGCAGATGGAAAGATATATATTTCACTAAAAACTTGATGCAAGAGGTGCCTGTGACTGTCGGGTGCTGTGGGAAAGAAGTGCCTGTCGGTGGCAGGCCACATGGCAGCAGACAGGTTTCGAAGGTTGTTGATGCTGTTGAGTTTTGATGGTTCTGATATTGATGATGCTGTTGCTGCGGTTGTCTGCAACGCTATTAATGCTGGCAATGCCAGTCATGCTGGTGATACTGTGAGTGCTGGTGATGTTGACACCAGTGCTTGTTATGTGCGTGATGCTAGTGATGAGTGCGTCGTACTTGAAGGAGCCACACAGTGGCTCGTGTATTTTTGTCAGGCAACTGGATACTTGCTCACATCTCGGCCCGTTTTTTTTCTTCTCAGAGTTCCTTTCGCCAACCCGGACCAGGGCAGGTCCGGTTTGGTCCGGACGTGGAGTGGTTGGCTCCGCACATCGAGGGCATGGATTTGGACGAGGCCGGGAAACGCCACACTTTGCGCAGCTGGTTGACTTTGGAGCAATCCGGAAGACCCTACTTAGTGTTACTTATCAGAGCTGAAACAAATCAAACATATCAACATTGCCCTCTTTTCAACCATCATGGAAATCGGGGGAGAGGGTAGCTCCGATGTGAAGCCCCAATCGCAGTGCATACATGATTTCTCTTGCAGGTTTTGGAGTCAGCCATAACTCCATATTGGTGTCATTTATTTATATCAGCTGAGTTTTCGTCTCTCCTGTGATTGAAGTGGAAGCATGACCTGTGATGACTGGTGAATATCGGTGTGTCCTTTGTTTGATCTTCTTTTGGTGCCCATGTTGATCGTTGAGTGGGAATGAAAGAGCCGGAAGTCGAATGGGGGTTTCCTTAAAGGCAAGAAGGGGCCGGGTAGGGCCGGGTAGAGGTAGCCTACAGCAGCGGCCCCGCGGCGGCCGCGGCGTACCACGTGGACACCGCGCGGGCCAGCGCTTTCTACGAGGAGGCGGCTCGGCGGGTTTGGGTTTGGGCACACAGTTCCCAGCCAATGTGGTTTCATAGCATCCGTCCTGCCTGAAGAGATGGACGAAAACATCTTGGAAGGTCCTATCAGCTGGAACGCCTCACTCAGAAACGTTTGCTTCTTGCTGTCGCAAGCCCTTCGAAGGGGGGGGGGAGGCACTACACAAATCCCCTTGGCCAAAAGGGGTAGTTTCTTGGTCGTCCCAACCGGTACACCGGTACCAGGTGCCTCCAAAAGACAAGCAAGTCCAGATGAATCTAAATAGGAGTATGGTTGGTGGATGTGAATCGAATTTGATCTGCAAAGGGTGCTATCCTACCACCTTATCAGGAAACTATACCTTTAAACTGTGGGTCTTTTTGTCGGTGTGTCAAGAAGCGGGATGTGTTTTCCTTCCAAAGGCCCTTTTGAATTGCGTTAGATTCTTTATGGGCTTGCTACAATCCTAGCCTGATTTATGTTTCAGGTGGAGATCAGGATTTAGCCACCCAGGTACCGACAAGTCCCGAAGCCTATCTGGAGTAGGAGGGATTCTGTGTGGAAGTTGCAACAAATCCCAAAGTCGGAAAGTCCTTGTTCTGGCTCATACTAGCTTATTGGCAACTAGTATGGCCTAGGCCACTTTTTTGTTTCTCAAAATATGGATTCATCCCTTTTCGGAGAGTTTAAAAGGTCAAACAAAAGGGAACGCCTTGCTTTGGTGCTATTTTCAGAAACACACAAATCGGATTCCCATGAAACACCGCCCATTGCGGAGCTCGTTGCAGGTTAGGCGCTACTGGCCCGGCCTGCCGGATGACGCGCTGGTGGCTGACTACTGCGGCCTGCGCCCCAAGCTGTCCGGGCCAGGAGGGCGGCGCTGGGCGATGCTGTTGTGTGTGGGGACGGGCTGATACTGTGGATTACAACATCCTGGGATGAAGCCCGGTAAATTCTAGGATAAACCACTTACATGTTTCGAGAAAAGCCTACACGAGGCTCAGTCAAGTGTGCAAACCTTCTATAATCGATTTGGGGTTCGGGATGACTCATGTCTCGCAGAAAAATGCAAAACAACAAACATCAGGGGGCTCATCTTTCTTCCATGTTCTCAGCGTATTTCTTGACCGCGGCTATGTTGCCAGGAGAGCCGGCGGCCGACTTCCAGCTGTTGGGCTGGGGTTTCCGGAGCTGCGGTCGGCCGTCACTCGGCCAGTCGCGGAGGGGTTTCCCCGAAATGGCTTTCTTGGTTGGGCGTCCTTTTAAAACAAGCTGGCATCCAACCCCCAAAACGAGCAGAAGGGTGCACAGCTCAAAGTGCACTGTTGTGTCTGGCTGGCTTTCCGGGATGAGCCAATGAGCTGGGGATGCTCATGTTGTCACAAAAACAAAGCAACTGAGGAACCGTTTGAAGGGAGCTTTCAGATGACCCAACTCATCCCTCAGGTTTTGTGAGAGCCCTCCAATACCCTCCAAATATGTCCCTTTCTATGATGGTCAGGTCCCTGCTGAATCTGCTGGGCATTGAGAGCCCTGGCCTTACGGCGGCGCTGAGCCTGGCAGAGGAGGTGCTACAGCTCTTAGGCGCAGCATGAGAATGGGGGACCCCCGACCCAAAAAACTTTGGGATCCCTTCTGTCAAAATAGCGGGACCCCAAAAAAGGCATCGGTTTTTGTTTTGGTTTGAGGGTACCAAGCCTCAAAACTACACAACACATGTGAGGTTTGCCCACATTTCCTGATTTGTCAGACGGGCTCTAAATTTCCCACAAAGACCAGGGGAGGAACTCTAAATGGGGGCGGGGTGGACCGAATAAGATGCGTGTGTAAGACTTTTACTTCAGGTGTTGGAATGCAATATGGTCGGCTTCTGTATGTTTTAGGAAGCAAACCCAAGAAGGGTACCCTCAACAAAGAACGTGGGTGTTTCCAACCACAGGTCAAAATGAGATGTATTTCAAACTTAGCCTTTCAAAAAAGGTGATGCTCTAATCCCCCCCAAAAGGGTACCCTCGGGGATGGTTTAAAGGGAAGCGACAGGGCACCTGTGTTGAGGCGTTCTCTTGCAACCATAGCTCCATTTTTGGGATGCTTGGGGCTGGGGCGCCTTATTTTGGCACATCCATTCGGCATCCGATCTGGTCAAGCTATTTTGAATTGAAAGATGTCTCCGCAGCTCGCACCACGATCGCCAGCATCAGCAGTGGTGCTATCGTCGGCAGCATCACCAGGCCTTGGCTCACAAAGTGGGGTCACTTGGTCGTTAGTGGGCTGAGTTCCCCCCAAGCCAAGCCCCCGCCATCCCAACTGGTGCAGCATTGTGTCCATCCACTCTCTGTTTCCCTCCCTCTCCCTCTCTCCCTTTCCTCTCCCTCTCTTGTCTCTTTCTCATTTCTTTTTCCCTTGTTTCTTTTTTGCTTTTTCTCTTTTTGCTTCTTCTCTTTTTCCTTCTTTCTTTTTCTCTTTTCATCATTTGTTTATTTTCCCTCTTTCTCATTTCTTCTCTCTTTCAATTTTGTGTTTTCCTATCTTTCTCTTTGTTTTTTTGTCTTTCTCTCTTTCTCTCTTTCTCTCTTTCTCTCTTTCTATCTTTCTCTCTTTCTCTCTTTCTCTCTTTCTGTTTTTCTCTTTCTCTTTCTCTTTCTCTTTCTCCTTTTCTCTCTTCCTCTCTTCTTCTCTTTCTCTTTCTCTCTTCCTCTCTTCTTCTCTTTCTCTCTTCCTCTCTTCCTCTCTTTCTCTCTTTCTCTTCCTCTCTTCCTCTCTTCCTGTCTTTCTCTCTTTCTCTTCTCTTCTCTCTCTCTCTCTCTCTTTCTCTGTTGCAGGTCCACCACCGTCGCAGCCATGAGCTCAGACGCCAAAGTGCGAGATGCGCTGATAGCTTGGAGAAAGGTCGGGGGAGGGGGGCCGCTTATGCAGAGAACTCGACAGAAGACTTTAATGTTCCTCATGCCTTCAGATGTAAGATATCCGGCTGCTTCGATGTCTTGCTGGGACCGGGAACGCAACAAGGGACTTTGGGCCGATGCCCGTAGACCAGGCCGGTGAACCATGAGACTAAAACCCTCCTTGTTGCAGACCGCTTTTTGGAAGGCGTGTCAATTTGCAGGGGAGAATCCATGTAAAGATGTCCATTTCAGGCCTCAGGCTCCTCAGCCACACAAATGGCCTAAGTCAGTTTCTGAGCCAACAGGTATTTCACCTACAAATCAATCCATTCTTCTCCAACCGCTGAAAGCTCTGGGGTTTGTGCGGAGATAAGGTGTGAAGTGGTCGTCCAGGGAGGGTTCCGGAGGGAGGCTCCTTCTCGCCGGCGCCGGCGCGCATGCGCAGGTTATTGCTGCTGCTTGTGGCTCCTGCGGATGCCCTCCTGAGAGGCCGGCTGAGAGCAGAAGGTGTCTCTGTGTGTGGTGTGTATGTTCCATGTGTTTGCGTGTGTGCTTGCGTGTGGAGTTATTTGTGTAAACGTAAGTACTTGGTTTCCAGAATGGATCAGTGACGCACCAATCATAGACAGCTCAAAGAACATGTGTCACACGTCCATCATTGCCCACTCACACTTGGGGGCTCAAGGATCAAAGCTTTTTCAGTGGATTGGGGTCACCTTTGCGAGAACAGTGCCGAAGTTCAAGAAAGGGTGGCACGACATGATCAACAGAGAGTCAAGGAGCATAAGAGGGTTTGGATGTCCATCGGCAGAGAGTCGTTGCATCACAGATTTGGCCTCAGCTGGATTTGGGCTGCCTTGTTGCCCAGAACCTTTTTCGATATGAAACAGAGAACGTTGGAACACCCATGCTTGGTGTACGAGACTTTGCGGCAACTCCTAGCATCGGTTGGTGTAACGAAAACGCCCCGCACAACGCCTCTGACCCTGAGGTGGAAATTCTGGGCGTATGCGCGGGATCCGAGATGGCACGAGGGCGCCAGGTGTGTGAAGCAAGATTTCACCCCAAAAGGACTACGCAAGTCACCGTGGCTGGTCTTTGGCGTGTCCTTTGGGCACAAATGGCTTAATCCTACACAAGGTTAAACCTTTTGCTCCAGGACCCAGTCAAATGGGTCTCCTTTGCACTTGTTATCCTTTTTGCGGGTTTTTGCATGTGGACCAGTATCAAACGGCTGGGAGAAGGCTGAGGACCCCAACATAAGGAGTGCGGGGTACATGATTGCTTCATCCTTTTGCTGAGCCTGGCCTAGGGGAGTCTTTGAAGGGAGTTGGTCTGAGATATCCATGCCGCGCAACACACGGGGTTTGTGTTTTCGAGGCTCAGAACCCTTTTGGGGTTTGTTTAAGAGGGAAACCAAAGGGACAACTGAAGTGGTTTGAGGTGTTGCCGGCGAGGTGGGGAGGGCGCACCACCCACACATGTCACTGTGTGACGAACGCAGGAGCGTGTGCCTTGTAGAGAAGATAGATGGAAACCGGATTCACCTGCCTACAGTGCCTATCATGTCGTGCAGCATGACGGGCTAGATGTAATTTATGGCAAGCATGAAGCCTCCACGGAGGTCTTGACGTTTCATGCGGTGTATGTTTCCAAATGCCGTCGATGTAGTGGGAGGATGTTCAGCGTACTCCCTGCTCCAGACGTACTCCCAACGATCAAACACGGATATGTACGACCTTGAGATTCACAGGACTCCTCTGGGGTTGACTTCGACATACTTCTTAGCAGTATCTTTGCAATCTATGGATGGCAGTGCAGCAGGGTTGCGAGGACGGAATGCAATATTGGACGACTTGTTCTTGGGGAGTTGTAGCAGGGCAGGAGAATACGACAGGGGAGTAATGCAGCTGAATCGCCACCTGAGCATGAGTGGTCCAAGCAAGTTGGTTTGCTGCCCGCAGGGTTTGACTGATGGCATTAGCTGAATAGTGCAATGTGTTGCCATTCAAGTGCATGACTCCACCAAGGATGGCCTCTCCACACGGGACATGGCGCATGCAAAATCGTTTGTACGCCATCTGACATGATTTTGATATGTGAGCTGCTGAGCTTGATGAGCTGTCGAGTCTCTTGCTGGTGCAGGGGGGCGTTTGCTGCTGCCTGGCCAACCAACCACAGTCACTTGCTGCTGTGACCCCTAGCGAGTCCTGCAAAACCCGCAGCTGCACCCCGCAACAAGATTGGCAGCGAAGGCGATGTTTAAATCTAAGTTGAAACCACCCACGGGGCAGGGATTCAGACCCTCTGAGGGTCTGGCTCTTGGCAGCTGGGAGGAACTGGAAGAGTGCTAGAAACTCTCAGACTCTCAGTCATAAATGGCTTCCTGATGATCTGGCGCGGGGAAGGCATGTTCCTCAAACGGCACAATCAGGGTGTGAATCTTATTTTCCGACGACTCCAATCCCTGGTTTCCATTAAACCACGGTCATGCATGCAACAGTCATGCATTCGGGACCATTTTGCTCCAACTGATTTGCATCATTTGCACCAGTCCTTTTCGTGAGACCCTTTTCAGGGATCTTTGGGTGTGTCGGTGCCGCTGTGGGCGCGTCGCACACGACTATCATTTGTGGGATTCCTTTATTCAGGTTGGTGGAGTGCAGGAATTACTTTCCTCCGAATCAACAAGGGTCTCCCAAAAGGGAAATTCCTTGTAAACTGCAACTTCTTTTGTTTTTTTACAAGTTTTGTACAGGGTTTGGGGTTTAGGACTTAGGCGACCCTACACCTTTACCCTAAGCCCTTGCCATACTCTGCTTTGGTTTCCGCAGGGGGGTGGTGCAGCGCAATCTTGGGGTGCCGTTTTTTGCGAAGCCTCCTGATGCCCAGGGCCCACGTTGAGGGACAAAGTGCACTCAACCTGCAGGCGCGCGGGCGGGGCGCGGGGGGGGGCCGAAGGTTGCGGGCTGAGCGGCGAAACTCGATGAATCGGAGAGATCTGGACATCAACGGAGCCGCCAGTCTGTTCTGGTTCGGGTGGTTTGGGTCATTTGGGTGGTTTTGTTGGTTTTCCCAAAGGCGTAACTACCCTGCGAGATGCGGCACGCCAGAGTTTGCCTGACGGCGCAAGGTTGTGGAACACTTGGTTTAGGACCAACTTGTGCGATGCCACCCTTTTGAAGTCATCCAGTACAGGATGTGATGCCTGCAGAGTTTCTCTTAGCCTGAGCGATCGTTCAGTTTAGCTCCGAGCCGAGGCTGGGACGCAGGTTAAAATGCGCCCTCAAGCTTGAACCAGCCTTTGTCGAGGGAAGCACAACGGACATGTCCAGCATCAACGCGTAGTGCAACGGACATCTCCAGCGTCAGCGCAGGGTGAGGTTTCATGCCGATACTGGCCGCTTACTCATTGATTGCTTCTCACGTGCGGAGTCAGGCATGCGTGTTGTTACCAGTGGGTGACGCAAATGAACGTTAACAGAGTCGATCATTTGGGAGTCATCCTCCTGCTCTGCAAGGTGCGAAGGGGAAGTCGTGCCCAGGCGAGTGCCCCTTGCTCAATGGCTCAGGTTTGTGTGTTTTTCTAGGACGCCTTTGACGTGTTTCACATTTTTCTTGTCCCTGTGGCGGTGCTGGTCTGATTTTTGCCAGTTATGCAGTCGTTTTGATGTGTGTGAGTGTGTGTGTGTGTGTGTGTGTGTGTGTGTGTGTGTGTGTGTGTGTGTGTGTGTGTGTGTGTGTGTGTGTGTGTGTGTGTGTGTGTGTTTGTGTTTGTGTTTGTGTGTGTGTGTGTGTGTCTGCGCGTCGCTGCATGAAAAAGAGGGGTCTGGCAGCATGCCCTGATGGGTTTTTGTATGCCTCCCTTGTAAGGTGTTTGTGCTGTCAGAAGAGACACTCAAACTGGAAGCTGAGCCACGCAATGGAAGGTGACATATGGCAGTTCCTGAGAGTGGTGCTCCTCTTGAGCTAGCATCTTTGTTTTTTTCAGCCTAAGCAAAAGACGTCATTATTCATAGTGGAGATGTCAGCAAGTCTGCAATGAAGAAGGCCAAAGCGTCTAAGACAAGGCGTACATTGTTCCAGAACCGTTCATTTGTTTGAACCGTGCGCTGGAAGCAACCTAAAGTAATCTCACTGACTCGATCGTTTTGCTATCTTACGCTTACTGGGGTGCTTTGAAGCCTTTCGGGAGGTCTGCATTTGGCTCATGTTGGCTGGAGTGGCATGACTTCCTCTTCGACTTTCCTTATCCTCTGGCATGGGGGTTCCTATGTTCGCATGGTTTGGGCTGATGATTCGGAGGCGACCAGTGTGCCTTTGTATTTGGTTTCACCACAAGCCTGGGGCTCTCTCTCTCTCTCTCGCGCGCTCGCATCCGCGCCGGGCGACTCTCCTGCGCTATGGCCAGGCACCACTTGCGAGCGAGTTACTTCAGCTGCAGGCCGCACGCGAGCGAGGAGTCTGGGCTCCCAACGCCAGAATGGCCGTGTTTCCCTTTGATGGGACTTGTTGCTGATGAGTGAAGAGCAACCCGGGATGAATGGATGATTGAGGGGGTGTACCATTTGTGTGCGGGAGCCCAGCCCCCTTGCGAGGATTCAACATTTGCCCACCATTGGACAGGGGGAATGACTTCGATCATTGCAAAAACAGAGGTCATTTGAAAGTGATCTCAATGGGGTTCAAGCATTCCGATCTGCTCGAGTCACTTTTCGGAAAGACCATTGTAGGGGCAAACATAAAGGTTCGATCTTTTCAACCAGTTGCAGCATCTTTGAAGGGTTTTGAAGTCACAGCTTTGGCTTCGACTTGCTGCAAGTCATAGTGCTGTTTTAATAGGATTCTCTGGCCGCCAACGCAAGAGCAACGGCCAATTTTCACAGTGGTTGGGACGACACTCGACTTGGAAAGGGGGGTTTACCTGTCCCTAATTCAGAGACACAGCAAGGGCAGGGTATTGCCCAATGGAGCCTAAGAGTGACTATCGGGGCCATGACGCCATGACCTTCCCATGGCTCCGGCCCTGAGTCGCTGTTGGGCTGTTGGTTGTGCTTTTTGGCTTCGCGGCTGAGCTCCCTGGGTCTTGCTTCAGCATCAGCCGGAGGCGTCTTCCTACGCCCCGCCAGTGCCTCACTGATCAGCATCAGCCGGGAGGGCGCAGCTCGCTGACGGCCATGTCCTTTTTGAGCAGGCGATTTGACCATCCGAGCGGTTGGTTTCCTTTTGGGTTGCTCGTGACGTCAATTGCGGGCCTCATGTGGGTCTGCTCGACTGCCCCCAAGAAGGGCCCCCAGCCATTCCTAGCGCGGCCTTTTCTGACCGCAGTGTGGTTTCAGCATGTGACAACTTTGTCTTGGACAGGCTTGCTGACGAAATCCGTAAGCTTTTGGGGGACCCAGCCAGGTTGAATGTTAATGCCAAACCCCAAGCCCTAAACCCTAAACCCAAAATGCTGCGGGAGGGTAGCAATGCAATGCGACTCAGTTACCTGGGGCTTGTGCTGGCGGCTGTGGTGGTGCCACTCTGAGACTGGAGAATTTGGTTCGTCGATTGTCAGGTGGAGGAGAAAGCGTAAAAAACAGGCATTGTTTCTTTTGCGAAAGGGGCAGGCTAATGCATTTTGTCTCACACGAAACCCAGGTTCGAAATTCGGCAAGGGTCAAGTTGCCACCTCTGTTGGGAGTGAGAATGGTGGTGCGGAACAAGGACCATGTTTGGTTCCTTGTGGACCGTCGAGGTTTCTGGGATCTGCTTTGACATTGCTTTGCACTTCACGATTCACTAAAAATATGGATCAACACTCAAAGAGGTAGTTTTTGGTTGGGGGTCAAAAGCTGAGAGTTGGGGTTTTGCATAGTCAAAGAGGTTCCAACCCAAGGCGTCTGCATACGAGTTCAGTCTGTCACCCGAAAGGTAGTCCTTTCGGGTTGGCCCAAAGGGAACCTAACACAGGGAACAGCGCTATTTACAGGAACACCATGCCCCTTTTCAGGGGAAGCCGAAGACTAGTTGCCATTTTGGATTTCCAATTGTGAGAATTCCGTGGTGTTCCCACTCCAGAAAAGTCTGGGTGAGTTGTGGGTCCCCTTCTGATTGGCAAAAGAACCTGTTCTAAATGAACCCGAGAAGAACCACCTCTGTCCAGTTGGCCAGTTTTTCATTTCGGGCAACATCACGATGCCCTCAAACATGGTCGGTGGACATAGCCCCTCCCATGTATTTGTGATGTCCAGGAAAGGGTCCAACCAATTAGCTTCATCCCCAAGTCTGGTGCCTTGCTCAACAAGCAGGTGAGGAAGGACATGGATCGTTTTATGGTTCTCAGTAGAGCATCGTTCGAGGGATTTTGGGAATGAACCGCAAGAAGCCACCAGTAGTAGTAGGATGGGTTTTTCTGGTCATGCCCTTCCCAAATCTCAGGACCAGCAAGTCATCAGTTTTGCTTTCGTGGATCAGGAGGAGAAACAAAACACGATTTGTGATTCTGGTAAGTGAATCATAGTAAGGGCTGTGAATACAAATGGGTGCGGTTTTGCGCCTTGATTCTTATGATTTTGGGTAGACTCCTTGAGTACCAGGTGTTGATTGTGACTCCTTGGCTTCCCTTTGAAAGCATTTGTGAAAGGGTACCACCTCCAACAGACAGAACCCCAAGCAAGTCGGTTGTGATGGCTCCGCAGGGTCCAAGCTTTGAGGCATTCTTCATCAAGCGATTTGAATCGCGTTGCAACAGATGGATGGGTTTAGCCGCCTGCAGAACATTGTCAAGATCTAATATCCCTTACGATCACAGATTTGTTGCATCCAACTTTTCTGAACCGGGCACGTCAAGTTATGGACACTGGGGATACGACAAGTTGAACGGCACGTGCGTCAGAAATTGAGGCAAGGCAGCCGGAGGCTGGCTGGCTGGAAACAGGTTGTCAAGAAAAACACATAATCCTGGGCGCTGTTCTTAGCTTAAGTGCTGTGTTGTGTTTTCCATGGCTGTGCAGTGCTGGGGGGTTGGCTGGTGGGCGTGAACAACTCAGGCATGGCAGTTTCCATGCACGCTAAGTCCGACAAGCACATTTTAGCTGGGTTTCGGACAGTCTTAGCTGCAAGCGAAACATGCGCTTGCTCAGAAGGCTTCAGTGAGTTGGGATTTTAGCTGATTCATTCTGAGCAGGCGTGAACATGCAGTGCTTTTTCATTGTTCTGTCCTTGGAAGTGTTCAGCAAGCATGCGCGCACGCCAACGCAAAGAACCCAGGGAAAAAGGCATTTCGTCAGGTTTTTCATCAACCTGTGGCCTTGGCAGGATCAACAGCCGAAATACGAGCGTTTATCGCAATGGCGTGCCGCCTTCGGGTTGGGAAGTAAAGGAAAGCAGAAGGAAGCCAACGTTTCTTCACGTTTTTGAGGGCTGCGGCTGATGTGTCTAAACGGAGCCGCCGGCCTTGAGGTGCCCTTACTGCTATTACTGAGCTGCTGGCTCGCACCTGAGACTGGGTTTCCCCATGTGAAGCAATTTGCGAAGCCGACGTGCACCCAAGTGCCTTGGCTTCCACCACCAGAATTGATTCCCATCTCCTTGGAGAACGATGCTGGATCAAGTATTTAAGTAGGACCTGGCAGACTCCCCAAAGTAAAGTGATCCAGATTTTTTGCAAGATGGGCTGCCGCTCCCGCAATCAAGCTTATTCATGGGTTCCCAGTGCATTCGTATCCAAGATTGCAACCTCAAGCCTTTTGATTCATGCTTTCCGCGGAGTGCTTGCACCCTTACTAAGGATTCGGATCACGGGGGGGGGGGAGGGGGGGTTAGCAATGGCAATCCTTGGGCTCCAAAACAAGACGGCCAAAAGCCGATGAATCCACGCAGCTTCCGAGCTTCTGAGTTAGCGATTCTCTCGTATTCCTTGTTGGCTTCAAGGCGTCTTGGGCGCTCTTAGGTTTGACCGAATTCAGCTTTCGACTGTTTCGAGCATGCCACACGTTTTGGCTGACTGCGAGGGGTTCAGTTGGAGCATCATCCCACGGGGCTCCCACATTGGAGACGCACCCATAGGAGGCTTGGTCATATTTCCGATAGTGTATGGTCCATTTGGGAGATGGGGGAAACTTCAACAAATGCCGTGGAGTCATTCGTGTGTTTCATGTTGGGGGAATCTACAAAATTTTGAACCGTGGCTCAGGATCCTTCTTCTGGTGCCTGAAAGTCCAGGCTTCAGGGATTGGGTGCATTTTGGACCGAAAAATGCTCCTCCCCCACCAAAATGCACCCCCCCGCACACACCGATCCCAGATTGTTCAAGGGGATTTTGGACTGCCGATGCGCTGCATCGCATGCCATCGGACAGATTTATATGGTGTAAGGTGGGACTTTCTTGATTCCGCCAGAAGAGCTGCACAGTTGCGGCCTGCAAAGCATGCACCCACACGGGCGCACCCGTCTTCGGATTGCTGAGGTTCCTTGCCAACCAGTTGCTGAGCTCATTTGCCCAAGACCTCGGCAGGGGGCGAGTTCGGCGTTTGAGCTTGGCTGCCCTTGTGGCCGAACTATTTAATGTCAAACGATTCCAGACTGGTAAAGACATTCAAAGACCAACACAGGTTGCTTTTGTTGTGTGTTGCCTGCTTTGAATAAGCAGGCTCTTCTGAGCCTGCTGTTGCTGCCACGTTTACACATACAGTCATATATGTGCGAGAAGCTAGGATACATAATTGCATGCATTAACATACATTCATAAGTTCATAGATCCATACATTCACGTCATACGCATTTTGCCACATTTGACAATGTGCAGACACATATACGCCGTGCCTACATAACTTGTTACACATACGAATTCAGATGCATACATGTACAAACACGCAACACGTAAACAAGCAAACAATCAACACTCAAACACGCACACCAGCAACCACGCAAGTTTTCAAGCAAGTAAGCAACCATACACACAAAACCACAAACGCAACCACAAACACGAGCACAAACACAACCACAACCACAAACACAAACACAAACACAAGCACACGCACACACACACACACAGCGACACAAAGACACACACACACACAAAGACACAAAGGCAGACTCACAAAGACACACACACACACACACCCACCCGCGCACACACACACCACACACAGACACAGTCACACCCGCACACACAGCCACACACCCACACACTCACACACCCACACACACACACACACCCACACGCGCGCACGCGCACGCGCACGCGGGCGCGCGCACGCACGCGCACGCGCACACGCAAACGCACGCGCACACGCACACGCACATGCGCACGTGCACGCGCACGCGCACGCGCACACGCCCGCGCCCGCGCAGGCGCACGCGCAGGCGCACGCACACGCAAACGCACACGCGCACGCGCACGCGCACGTGCACGCGCAGGCGCACGCACACACACACGCACACTCCAACGCAAAACAAACGGAAACGCAATCGCAAGCGCAAACGCAAGCGCAACGCAAGTAACGCCACGCCACGTCACGCCAGGTCACGCCACGCCACGCCGCGCGACGCGACACGAAGCAGACACAATCAAATCAAACTACACTGCCCGAATCTCAACATTGACCCTGGTAGTTTGGAGTCTGGGTGGGCAGATGTTGCTCCAAGATCAGAAATGCATGTATTGCAATGGAGTAATTTGCCACTTGTAGTGATCATTGCCAACCCTACTCCTGATCGCATGTCTTGGTGGATCACAGAAAGACAGCGACGGCGACAGATGGCATCCATTTGCGACTCTGTCAGCACACCTAGGCACCACTGGGAAGTGTCGCCTAAGCCAAATGCCTTTGCCCCTTACCGGTGCATGATGGCTGAGACCATTGCTCGGTCAGCCAGGTTGGCCAGTACAAGTACGCCCCTCGACCCAGTCCCCACGACACAAGTGCCTCAAAGCATAAAGACTAACACATAGAAAGCAGTTGCAACGAGTTTGATCACGTGTCTCTCTCTCTCTCTCTGTATTCGCCGGTGCTAAGGACCCGGCCATGCTGCCAGCCAGGCCATTCTGGTTGTTGCAAAAACGGGGATCCCCAAAACGGGGGGGTTCCTTTTGGCTTCCCTTGAAAGCCACAAACTCTGTGGGATCTTCGGTCTCCGGCTCAACACCTTTTTCCAGTCTGCTTGGTGGCATGTTGAAGGTTTTTTGCCAATCCAAAGATCATGTGTGGGGTAAAGGGAGTCCACCCTGTAGTTCGGGCTTTTTTGGTGGGGCCACTTCTGGGGCAGTTGCACTTTTCGGATCCAAATCACCTGGGAGAAAATTCATCTTTGGAGGTTGCCATGCCAAGACGGCCGGATGTAAAATGGGTTTGAGACATGAGCGTTCCACTGATTAAACACGACACGTTGCCGTTGCGCAGTTGTCTGCTTTTTCCACGCTTTTGTTGCCTGTAGGTGCAAACACACTTCGTTGGCATTGCGCAGTTGCTTCTCGGGGTTCGTTTCAACTAGAATCAGATGGGGAAGGACATCCCCCTTTGAATTTCCTTTTTAGTCTCGCGTGTGCTGTAGTATTTATAGTACTGCTAGCAGGATTACCCGTGTCGATGCTGGTCCTCCTTTTGATTAATCTGAGACTATTGAGAAGGCAATCCGTTCTGCGGAAGGTTGTGGCGTGTTGGACCGAATGGGCATGCGTCAAAATTAAAGGAACCACCCACAATGGTGGTTTTCTTTCCGGTGGCCCTTTTACACCAACCTCAATACAGGGTACCCTCCAAAAACACACACACACACACACAGATTCCCAAATGGAGAGCAACCATTTCGCGGGTCCAAAGCCGCCGGTTGATGAATTCGAACTGAAAGCTACCGAACATGCCTCCTGATGTTGGGCTGCCACTCAGGGTACGTTACTTGGCGAGAGGACAAGCTGCGGCGACTGGCTCGCGGCTCACAGCAATTAAGTCTGCACAGGAGAAGCTTAGCGCTTGGTTCTGACCCGGTCAAGAAGTTGCCTTCCCACGTCAATTTGCGCAGGCTTCACAGCACTCGCCAGAGTCGTGCAGGACATCCTTTTTCACACAGCTTGGGATTGTCACACAGAACATGCCCTTTGCCTATTTCAGCATTTGAAGGTATCCCTGCAAACGAGCTTCATGGCTGTCGGAAGGCCTAGGGATTCCAAATTCCTTTGCATGATAGGCCCTTAGGGATTCTGAGCTTCAGGTCGGTGAATCACGAATGAATCGATTCATGCAGAATCTTAGCCTTCCGTTCACGTGCGATGTGATATCCAGCCGTGCTGGCGGCATCATCGAACAGGCCCGAATGGGCATGTGCCACATTGCGAGACGGCCCCGAAGCTGGTTTGCCTTCGAGCGACTTGCCCCCGCCATAAAACATGGAAAGGCAATTTTCCTCTTGGAGAGGCGTTCTGTCGGGTCCACGCCCTTCCCGTGGTCGACCTTGCTTGATGTTTTAAGCACTCGAGTCCGGATGCTGTGCATGAGACAAGTTGAAACTTGAAACAGGCGTGGCACCTTCGATGCTCCATGGTTTACGGCCATCTTTCGTGGTCCATTGGCTTGCGTATGTTGTAAGGCTTGGTCCGCTCTGGACTCACCGTTTGATTCCCGTCAGGTTGGTTTTCTTCGATTCTAAATTAGCGGCTAGGGACTTTGAAAGGGCCTGAAAGGGTCTTAGTGCGTTGTGCTGGTTGTGCCACCTCCCTCCTTTCGGAATGACAACCTGACCCGCCCTGTATCACTAAGGGGAACCGCGCGTTCTCAAGGGAAGTCGGTTGATTCAAAAGGGGCGTTGCCCGCCCCCCTTTTGGGTGAGAACGCCCAATCTGTCACAAAGGTGAACATCGCAGGCCCCAAGACACTACCAAAGGGGCCAGGGGGGTCTGTTGCTGACCCAAGGTTCCTTGACAGTGAGTTCCAGCTGTTTTTTCTGCTTGGGTCAATTCGGAAGGCCAATCTAAAGTGAGCTTCCTTTTGATGGGACATGTGGGCAACCAAGTAGTTGATGAGTTGCGTTGGTCTGGGGCTTTTGCAAACGCACGGGATGCCTGTGAGAGACTCAGCGAGGCTTTCTAAAGCGAAGGGGTGCATCGACGCTTTCATTGTCTCCTTCACTGAAAACGGCAGTGTGGCTATGGGTGGTTTGGAAGCACAAATCAGCTTGCTTGCGCCGACACTCACTGTTGCGATCCTTCGAGGTGCGTCTGCCTGGGACTTGTCTCAGCAAAACATAACCGCTAAATCAGTTCAGGGTGCCCTATATTTCCGTTTTTGGTCACCATTTTTGGGCCAATTTAAAAGTGACTTCCCTTTGAGTGGGGTGATGTTTAAGGGGAGCATTTGAGAGCTGGCAACGCGCATGTTGGTTGGGCCTTGTGGTCATATGTTGCTCCGTGTTCACAGAAGACCTGGAGCTCATGCCGATCGGTATGTCTGCCTGGCCGGTGCTCTTGGGTGTAAAGCAACCGCACTTTGGGGGGCAACGTCTTCCGCGGCATTGGGATCTTGGCGGACGAGTTCAGGCCCGGCTGCGCTGCTATATATCACCTTTTAGTTTTTGGGAAATCAGTATGTTCTCACTAACCCGCCAGAAGTTAGAACTTCTTGCGCAGTGGGCAACAGCCACAAAGAACAGGTATGGATTTGAGTTCGGGATTGATGGACAGATTTACAAAGGTGATTTTTGTTGCCCCCATTCTTCAGGGTGCTCCCCGCTATTCCATATCGAAAGCATTATATTTCTTGCACATTTGATGCGAAAACCGAACACACGCCAACTCCGCCGCGAAGGCGCCATGGCAGTGTTGCTCGAGACCAACATCGGGGATTTGGTCATTGACCTCAAGGTGCCACGAGACCATGGGGCTTATATTTATATCGGTGTGAAAAGAGGCCCTGGCAAGAAAGCCTTGGTAAGCCTTGAGCCTTAAGTTTGGACTCAAGCCGAACACCTGGAGATGAATTTTTCATCCTGGATTTTTTGGCGGACATAGGGCGTTCCCAATTGAAGTTCGCAGCCGTTTGGCCCATATTTGGGCAACCCCTTCCCCACCCAGCCTCACACCTACTTGGTCAGTCCCGGCCTCTGACGTTTCTCCAAAAAGGGGAGAACACGTACGAGCTGAGCTGTTCCAATCATGGCTGTACTTGTTTTGAAATTCCTGACCTGTAGCCTCAACCTCCGCAGCCCAACTCAAAATCAGCACATGCCATGTGACGCCACCAACTAGAATAAATGTCACCACTGACATGAGCACATCCGCACACAACAATCACAGCAACCAGCACCGGACCAATTGGCCAACATATCAGCCACCAAGGAAATGTTAGTGCCAGCACCACACACACACACAGCTCAATTCTGTCCCTTTGGCATGTTCCGCTGTTGGTTTTGAACGGGGACTGCCCATACTTAGTGACCTATTTCAAGAAAAGTTCACGACGGCCAACGCACCAGTGGGTATGTGTCCAGAAAAATGGGATGACCCCCCCCCCCCAACAAAAACAAAAGAAAAAAACAGAAGCACGGAGGTTTTCCTTGTGGTTTCCCTTCAAACCAAGGTGAGACGGGCTCGCGCGTGAGAATGACGCCTTGGATAGGTGGACCATGCACCAAAGGCCTGTCTGAACTTTGTGAAGCCGCGGGCCCCGGAAGGGGGGGGGGGGGGCATTCCTCCTCTAAGTTTGTGGATTCCAGAAGCATGGAATGAGTTAGAATGACCCACGACTCACTGAGAGCCAGTTCTGCGAGGTTCCATGTTGCTCATGGGAAAGACTCAAAGTGCGATGGAAGTCCTGTAGCCTTCGTTTGTCCATGTGTTTTGCTGGCTTTGTGGAGTGGGGTTGGACGCTGAGAAGCACGTTTTGTTGAGAGGTCCGAACCCAAACCAGGGGGGCAACAGGACCTGAACCCAAACCGGGGTCTTTGTTTTGGTCGTGGAGTATGTTTAGTGGCTTGGGCAAGATACGGAATTTTTAGAGCGTGGAGGCTGGGGGGGCCCAGGGTTCCCATTGCCATTTTCTCACCATGATCCTCAGCCGAGTCATGCTTGCTTGACTGGTCCGGCGAGCGGGACATGTTCTTGAGAGAGCGACGCGCATACAAGCTCTTCTGGACACAGAAACCATAAGGGTGATGTGGGCAAAATTCTTCCTCTGTAAAGGACCGTTCCATGTGAAAGGATACGTTTACCAGCCAAGATCCACATCGCACGAAACCCTACGAGTACTGGTTTGATGTTCATCATAAGCCATAAGCCAGCAAAGCGGGTTTTGCCCATTTGTTCCGGGCTTCCACGCCCAGGCTGTGCAAAATGAAGTACTACAACAACTGCCTCTTTCTGACGGCCGGCCTCCTGGAACTTAAGCTGCGTCAAAAACTGGGGCTGTATGCCGACTCTCTCCCCCCACAGGTCTAGGACACCGAAGATATTAGACGCCTTCTTCCTAAAAGGCGGGTCTAAGATCCTGTGGGGGATTGTGGCTTTCAAGCAAGGCCATGTGACGGAACCCCCTATAAAATGCGATGAGCAAGCTCATTCTTGTCGCTTCTTTAGGGCACCATCACTATGACCCATCCAAGGAGCCTTGACCATGGCACAGATGATCCTGAGAATCGTCAATCGTGGCCAGGGAATGAAATTCCGATATCTTGCTTGAATCTTGCTTGGTCATGTTCTCATGATTTTTGTTTCTGTGGGTGGACAAAATCCGCGCGGGCACCAGATGGAATTGGTGTTTTGTGTATCGCAGTATTTATATAGGGTTTCGTTCATGCCAACTTGTCCAAGTATTATAATAGTCCGTGAAAGGGATATGAGATGGACGGGGACAGATGAGTTCCAGGGTTTGGGGGTATTTTGTTTATGTGGATGGCCTTCTTGAATTTGGTCGACTGGAGTCAGCAAGCTTTCATTGTAGATGCGAACAAGACTTTTGGGAAGCTGAGGTACCAGTGCCATCAAGCCTTTTCAAGGGATGAGAGGAGTTTCACTCGGGGTTGAACCAGCGGTTTCTCGAAGACGGGTAACTT